GATCAAAGAAGGAAGGAAGGAAAAGAAGGAAGGAGGAAGAAAAAGGAAAGAGAAGAGAGGCTTCCTGGTTGACAAGTGCCCTGAGACACTCAGGGGGGGGGGGAGCTAGCGCGGCGAAGCCAATTTGCGCCAGTTGTCGAAGGGGGCAAGTGTGAGAGCGTATGACATTAGGTCCTACTTATTCTGTTTCTCCTTTGGCGCTTGCACCTTCAGTAACTGATTGGGAGCAGACTCACGCCCTACCAAACCCAACCCTCTGACACTACCCACCATTCTAGCGAACGAGATTGCATGTGGTAAAGCGTGGTCCTTCTCTGTCGTGTCATGACACGTCATTTCTACGTCGTGGAATATCCCTACGCGTGAAGTGTTTTACTGAGACTACTATATTGTCTGGATATGTGACAAGAGAATCGTAATTCGCCGCGCCAGTGGGCGTCGCGTGCGACGTCGTACCAGCTAATGACGACGATTTTAGGTGGTATTGGTCGAGAATAGACAATGTATGACCAAAAATAGACACAAATGTCTGCCATGTCCTTGTCTACACGAAATCCGATGCTCCAATCGAAAGGGTAGTGCAAACCGAAGAGACGTCAAGCCTCACTGCCGCGCGCGATGAAGCGGCAATTCACGATTTCTTGCCCGTCTCCCATATTGTCTAGCGCTCTGCACTCCATTCGCAATCGTGAATATAGCGTTAGACGTTAATGAGCAATAATCTCGGTTGTGAGCAGTAATCTGAGCAAAACAAAATCTCAAAACTGTAGTTCACCAGCGTCCGCCATCGCGTTCACTTCATTGTTCTTATCTCTTATCACCTGTTTTTGAGGTATCAGCCTTTGTGTCAAATGGATCAAGCCTCGATTCTGGGTGGACCCTCACAAAAGGGACCCTAGAATTACTCGCCGAGATTCACGTCATGTTGGTGAAAAATCTCCAGGTAATATTTTCGTGATGGATGTTTCTCAATAGCATCAGTGATAAATTAGTAACGCTACGTATCAAAGGATTTGGCCAAGGAAGTTGCCAAGTACAAAGAGGATCTCGTAAAAGCTAGAAAAGAAGCAAAGCAGCAGGACATTCTGGACGCTGTCAATCTTATGCAGACTACAACTACTTGCCTACAGAAGGTTTTTATTTTGACACTTCTTACAATAGTGCCAGTCTCAGTTATGAGCATTTCCATTTGTCTAGACTTCTATTCGTAGAAAATGTTCATTTTAACCTCGTTTGCAGTCCAAAGAAACTTATTATGCCCGATGTGCCGAACTGGAGAAGCTGAAGAAGGAAGCGAACGTCAACCCCAAGGAGATTACAAAGGTTGTTAAATTGTTGCACCCCATTTTGGTTGTATTTTTCCAAAGTAGTGTGCATCGCTGCACTATATATGTACGACAGTACTAATGGGAAAACCTTATAACCTGTATTTGCATATTGCCCGGCAGTCTAGGGAGTTTGAGCTGGAATTTAAGTCCCATTCCGCAAAGTTGAGGAATGGTTCACTGCTTTGCCAAGCTGCACGTTTCGAACGCAAGAGCTCAACGCATTAATGTGGCAATCAATGACCGTGCCACATTTGCGTTATGTTACGTTTATTGATTGTCACATAAATATGGCGCATTGTATTCGTGGAGTAGCAAATAGGCCACTCAGAGTTTTAATGAGTTCAGCTCCGTGTTGCACTGTTTCAAGAACGATTGATTGGATGACAGTGCTTTCCGCACCGACGGTAATGTTGATATGTGCAACAAGGGCATCTTAGTTCGGCGGGGGTGCTTTAAGTCGTCGGAGGAAGGAGCGTATCACCCTGGTAAAACTGTTGATCTCTCCCGTTTCACCGCGCCGCTATCCACAGTTCTTTCGTAACTCCGCACTAAGGGAGAAAGGTCTTAGTCCTCGTATCTCGATGAGGCAGGCACCCGTAAAATAGGCACGGCTTGAAGCAGCAAATGTGCATGTTTATCCGCATACCAAACACGACGATATGAATGTCCGCAGTTTGAGACGTGGCGAGTTCGGGTGTCTGTGGACGTCAAAACTCAACCTAAGTCCACTGGTTTGCCATTCTCCACAGTCAAGGGCCGCCGCGCACAGCGCGCATTGTCAACCTTTCTTCCCAATCAGCAAATCTTCACGTTTGCGAAATATGAATGCTGCGATCGGGTTCTTCTTTGCAGCCAAACCTTATACCGTCCGATGTACCCCGAAAAGGTAGAAGGTTCCGTCGTTTGGAGAATAAATATGTGCAAGGAGTGAACAGGATGGCCTTTACGTGTCTCCGCCTTGATCACTGACCCCCTCGAGCGGGCTCCAGTAACGGCTTTATACGTCCTTTCCGATTCAGAGTAGTCCATTAAATTTTCTTAACTCGGAGAACACGAAGCCGTTCGTTGCAGAGCTCTCGTAATAACCTGAGAAAGCCGCTCGTGCCCTCTTCTGTCGACTGCTATTTGGGGGGGGGGGTGGAGAGAAGTGCGACTTTTTTTAGAATCTCTCGGGGAAAAGTGTTTACCGTACCGTATCGTACCGACACGCCATATCACAGTTCACGATGCTGTATCTTGTCTGAGGCTCAGTAAGTAAACGCCTTGGTCCAACGGTTTTCAGAGTCGCCTAACCTTACCGCTCTACTTGCTTTTTTATGTCATGGCGGATGCGACTCGACCTGATTCCACAGTTTACGGTAGTCGCAACTTCAGATTCCCCTTTCCAGTTGCTGTAAAGGGAAACTCCGAGCGCCGACTTCTCCACAGCGCGCTATAACGCTGAACGCATGCTCATCTTGTCTGCACGGAATCCAGGAATCTGAGGCGTATGCCGCATGTTATTCGTATACAGGACGGTTACTGCAAATCCTTAGCATTCGAGCAGCCTGAAATTAACGTTTTAGTTTAAATAGCCTGTCGCGAAATATGCAGGTTTCTTTTCCCAAGCGTTTGTGGTGCGATGTTTCCTTTTAATCGATGGTATCTCCTCCCTAGGTATTTCTTCCTTCAGCTGAGATCCCAAAACGAGCACGGCATCGCTACGTTGCGTGCTTCATTTGGCGATGGCACAGGCGAACTAGGACGCTGTTTGGCGACGGGCGGGGAGGGGGGGGGGCATTTTGCACTTTGCTACTTCCCATCGACGTGTCGACCCATCTAGACAGCCTCTTCTCGAGTTGACAGGTTTTACCATGATGGCTTGACGAGCTTGCTCCAGCTTCACAAGAGTTCACAGGTTTCACCAGAGTGAGACTTGTAAACCAGAACTAGTGAAGCAACGAAAGTGCAAAATTCCCCCCCCCCGTCGGAATCTGCGCCGAGAACTACTTTAATTAATTAGAGATATGATAAATATGATAAATGATGATATGATTAATATTTTTATCAAACCTACTCATCCAGTTTGTTCAGATGGAGTCTAAGATGTTCAAATCCAGAGAAGAGTATAGATCGTATGTTGATAAGTACGAGACGGTACGTAGTGATTTCGAGGAGAAGATGGAGCGTGCTTGTAAAATGTTCCAAGCCCACGACAGGTACCTTTGACCTCTGGAATTTCTTTTCTTAATTAGGCGCTCTGAGTAGCGTATCCATGCTATTTACAGATCGCACTTCGCCGCTTTACAACAGTTTTTGGTTATGTATGCCGGACATCAACAAGAGGCTACCTGTGCAGCTCAGCAAGTTCGTCTTATCCTTCCTGTAACCTTCTGGTGTGGGTGAGAAGAGAAATAAATATCTTTCTTTGAAGGTGACGGGTCAGTTTCGAGAAGCGCTGCAGCAACTGAGTGTTGACGAGATGGTGGCACGGTTTGTTAAAAGCAAGGGCACAGGAGCAGAGAGACCGCGTAGGCATCTTCATTTTCTCAGCACTTTTAGTCAGATACATTGGAAAATTTGTATGACGACTAAACCTGAGTTTTGTGTCCGGGCAACGATAAATCTTATTTAGAACCCGCTGTATTCGAAGAGCCAGCGGAGTACTGTGTTACATCTGATGATGAGGTCCATAGGCAACCTAGTGGCTCCATGCCATCTTCAAGCTGTTCATCAGGTGTTGTACCCTCCAATCCTCCTCCAGCTCCTCCAACTGCTGACGGTTTACTTTCACTGGATTCTTTCGATGCTTGGAATGATAACAAAGAGATGCAGGTACTGGAACACTTTCCACTGTGCTTTGCTTGCGGAACTTTTTCTTGCTGCTCTTGCTTGCATGGGCGTTTCTTTGGTCATTGAAGTTCAGAGCTTCAGAGCTCACTTCTCTTTATGCTAATTTAATGACTTCAAAGATTTGCCGAAGTGAACTTGCTTGGCAAATTCTCATAGTGAGTCGCCAGTTGTGGTACTGAACTACGAGCAGTAGAACTTTTACTAATTTGCTGTACAGTCGTTTTATATCCTAGCAGACCCGTCAGACTTCCCCCAATCATTCATGTCCCTTCCCACCCATCTCATATATACGCCGCTCCACTACACTCACGGCTCGTCGTACGTTGGGGTCCTAAGCGGGTTCTTACTTGGTGGCCCGCAGAGAAGGTGCCACATCTTTCGTGAGAATTTTTTTTTGTTTGCTGATTTTTCAAATCATTCGCGCTGTACTAGCCTGAAGTGCCGCAAAGCTACTATTTCTATTGGTCGATACTCTTGTCCCGGCCTACCAGCTAGTTTCTGGGAAGTTTCGTGAAATGATGGCTCGGTTGTGGGAAGGGGTAGTACCGGAGTAGAAATTTGGGAGCAGTAGCGCTAATATTCAAGCAGAATTCTCCCCAGCGTTAGAACGTGGCCTGCCGATACCACTTGTTGGGATAACTGATGCAAATGCAAGTCCTACTCTGCCGGAACTAATAACAGTGGATAACATTCGATAAAGGACGAGGTCAAGAACAGCAATTTGTTTTTTGTTTCACGATTGAGGTTTTCAAATGTATAAGAAAACTGCGATTGAGTTAACTGTATTTTTAAATCGCTTGATTGTTCAGTACCCTTTATCGGCATAACCTCTGCCGCCAAAAGAGTTGAATCCATGGAATAGGCTTTTCCTGGCTTCTCGTGGCCTCGTATGTTTTCGATCTACAACTGCGACTTTCAGCAGGTGCAACCGTCCCCGACTGCATCCATAGCAGTGATTCCACTACTGGAGCTGTACCTGCCGTCGCTCCTTTTTCGTCTTCAGTAGGAGGGACTGGAGCATTGGGGAGACAGAAACTCTCACTATTTCTTCCCAAACGAAAGAAAACCGTTTCACAGAGCAGTGCGAATGATGAGCACGAAGCAACAGGAGGTACGTGCTGTCACTCTCACTCTCATATTAAGGTATCGCTTTGTGAATGTAGATATATCCGCACTTTTTTGATATTGAAGAGAAAGTTCGTTTTTTTTGCTGGTAGGGGCGCTTTCACTATGAATTCCATTCAAGATACTGAAAGGAAGTCTGTAGCATGTTTGAGTGAAGCATATTCGTGGCTACTGTGGAAGGATCAAAATCTCCAGGACGAACTCATTCTCGCAGCAATGATTTTTGGGACTGCTCATTCCGATCTTCGTTTTGTTTTCGTTTTCTAATCGCCTGGGCGATCTTGTAAAGAGAAGTCTTCCCCGATCCGATGGGAAATGGAGGCTTTGATGCGGTCTCATGCTCTTTGTTACAGGAGCACGCTACTGTATCTATGCTTTTGGCGTCTAGTAACCGTGGATTTAAAGGATGCTCATGTAGAACTAGGGTTTACATTATCAACAGAATACGGTAGTAGAATTCGGATCACCTTCCCTGCAGCTTCATCTCCCCTCTGACTTAGGCAGATACGGTGAGTCTCATCTTTCGCAAGGGTCCTTCGAATGCTCCATTCAAGGTAATTAGTGCCATGTTTTGATATTCAAGATTTTGAGCATTTCCTCGGCTGCACAGATCTTGATCCTTCTTACAATTTTTCTAAATAGGTATTTATTACAAGCAATCGATTGAATCGAGTCTTAGCCCGTCACAACTTACCGGCGCATAATTATAACTCATCTGGAATCCAGTCAGCAGATGGCGATTTATTTGTTCGATCCATTCCCGCTAGTCTTTTTACAAACTAGTACGTCTTTTTAACTACGAACGAATAATATCCCTCTGAAGTGGTTAGGGAAACCAGCCTTGGCACTGTGCCATCAGTATACCTGCCTGTTAGCTTGAGAAGTTTACGGGTTTTTGTCTTTCAGAATTTAGTTTCCTGTCCATGGTCAACCTCTTCCATCTGGTTGATCCCACTTGTCACGCTCATCACATTCAAATTTATTACACAGTCCCGAAAAAAGTCTATGGTAGTGAAAAAAATTTGCCGCGGAAATCGAAGCCGCAGTTTTGCTCCAGGAGTCTTTTGAATCCCTTCCAAGGATATAACCAAGCTAATGCTTGTGTTCTTTCTTTCGTGCAAACGTTAAAGGTACACCTAGCCAGATCAAAATGACGTCATTTTTCCATTCTCATTTCTTCTGTAATCTATTGGAGAATGTTTTGCACTTTAAATTTTTGTATAGTCATTTGTCGCAAAGGCGGAGACCCTTTGTGATGGTTGCCTAAGACGGAATACGCTGTCTCGCTAATAGGGTCCATTAGCCTATTGACTATAAAATTGCTGGCACATATGGTGAAGTCTGGAAACCTGCTCCTGCAGAATTTGCGATACTGCTTCTTTATCTCCTTCTATGAAGCAACAGTCTCCTTCTCTGGATTGCGTGAAGCGCAGAACTTCTATTTCGATAGACTCGCTTTCTATTGTATTCTCAGTGGTGCATGTTTCCCACAAGCTCGCCCTCAAACCTGCGCCATCAATCAGAGAAAAAGAAGGGACATGACTAGGCACAGTCACAAACGATAGGGCGTGTGCGTGGATGCATACTTCATTTGCAACATGGTGCAGATTGTGTTTCTCAAGGGGTATTTCCAGTTAAACAACTGTCATTCTGTCTTGTACTGGTACCAATTGCCCCGGACCGGCAATATCTCACCAAACCTCGTACAGTTGAAGGAGCAGCCACGCCCACTTTAGCTCCTGGATGTCGAATGTATGCTGCTGGATGTGATGCAAATGAACCCTTGCATAGATGGTATCGTTCTCCCTTTAGAGGCATTTAAAACATCGCAATATATGCTGCTTCACCGCTGAAACATTTTGAATGTACATTCATTCCCGAAGAAGCAGGGGTAGCGAGTGTTAAGAAATGGCAAACTCATGTTCGCACTTGAGCCACGAGTTCGATCCCTGCCGAGGCACAAACCTGCCTTGCAAAAATTGCAAAAATGGGGACGATACCAGCGTCAGGCCCAGGTTGACAGGCCGGCTGATGGAGGAACCCGTCACAACAATCATGACAAGTCGCAAAAGTATCAGTGTTAAAGCTAGGACGTCACCCGGAAGTGGCGCGCAGAACCCTCGCCCGAGTTCTGTGGTCAGTATGCGAGGGCTACCGAGGCGTGAACGACCTCGGCCAAAGAAGCTAGTTTGAATTGGGACCCTGAACGTGGGATCGCTTACCGGGAAGTCTCGTGAAATTGCTGACCTCATGAGACGTAGAAATATCCAAGTCCTATGCCCTTCAGAAAACGCCGAAGGCGTTGTGAAGGCCCGCGAGGTCGGAGAAGGTGTCAAACTCTTCTACAAGAGACACCAAATGGAATGACCTGGCCCGTAGCGGTGGCAGAATCCCTCAAAGGACTGCGTCTCTGTGAACAGGATCAATGACCGGATCATGGGAGGTGAGCAGTGAGAATGGACACGAAGGAGGGGTACTGGACAGTACTGACCGTGTACGCACCACAATCCGGTTGCTCCGAGGCGGAAAAGGATGAGTTCTACCTGACCCTGGACGAGGCCATAAGATCGGTTCCGGAAGATGACTACCTCACCATAGCTGGGGATCTGAATGGCCATGTGGGAAGTGACAGAAGGGCCTAGAAAGGGTGCACGGAGGTTAAGGAATAGGAGCAAAAAAAAAACGCTGAGGGAGAGCGGATCCTTGGCCTACAGGCCACGACTTGGGCCATCTGCAAGAACCATGAAAGGCAGCTCCACTCAGCTGAAATGAGGATGCTGAGATGGGCCTGCGGCTGGACACGACTCGACAGAGTCAGAAACGAGGACGTCAGGGCGGTCACACAGACGGCTCCGATCCAGCTGAAGGCACGAGAGCAGCGACTGCGATGGTATGGGCACGTGCTGAGAAGGCCTGAAGGACCACCCAATAAGGAAGGCATTGGAATTCGAAGCAGAGGGCAAGCGACCACGAGGAGCCCCAAAGAAAAGATGGAGGGACGTCATCAAGAAGGACCTCACTGAAGTGAAAGCCACGGCAGAAGATGCAGTGGATCGGAACAAGTGGCGACGTCTAACAAACAGCGGACCTGCGACGGCGCGGGACTAACGCTAGGAAGAAGAAGATTAAGAAGAAGATTCATTTTCTATGACGGCCTACATAGCCAACAATTAAACCAGCGTATTCACCCCCCCCCCTAATCAATTCTGGTGCCATATTACCGAAGGGGACAACAAAGGCAGAATGAACATACGGTTAGCGTCATTAAAAACGCCATCGAGAGAGCGATGCGCGCTATTTCCCGCAACATGCGAGTGAGAGAGAATCCGGAGCTCCGCACTCCGTTGTCGATCGAAAATCGGGGACGCGTCCTTCAAGGTTTCGAAGATCAGGTGGGTCGGAGAGGTCACGCGTCATGAAGAAGACCGCTGGATCAGAGCGATTACCGACTGGATTCTACGGGACATGAAACGAACGCCTACCCGATGGTAAGATTTATTCATGAGAACTCTGTACGAATAGTATGATGCTCATCATGTCCCTCGAGCATAATAAACCCTTTGGGCAATCTAACAGGCATGAATGGAGACGTTAGTAGCTCCCACCCACTCGATTCAACGGGAGCACAGATGATACAAGAGGATGAAGCCTTACCACTAGTTGGCAGGGGCTCTATTAGATCACTAGAACTTACCTCGCAGATGGCGCCTGTAGCCATTGGTGATACAAATTTTTATTTTTCGAAAAGTTTTTGAAGATTCTTATCAGTAAACAGTTAGTTGGCACCTGATCATTGTTGCTGATTTAGTCACAATATGATTCCCCTTCTCCTAACTTTAGGCTTACCGTTCCATTTCACGATTTTTATGGATCATCTGCTTTTTTCCCGCTTTCACTGTCCCTCAGGACGTCTAGGAACACTTGATAGCGAGATGAGCAGTTTTTCGGGGTTCCCTTCTTCCTTCCTCCAAATTCAATCTGTTTTAATGCACTGTTTTTTTCGCTTGGCTGCGAAGAAATGAGGAAAACGTGCGCCTTTATGAAGGGGTGTGTTGACGCAACGTTTTCTATTTAATCCTCGTTTCGCTCCTTCTTCCGGGGCCTATCACGTTTCTTCAAACTTTCCTTATAATGTGAAATGTTCTGACAAGTAAAGATTATCCAGCAATTGTATTGATCTCTAGGACAAAAGGGCAAAAATTTGAAAATAATCCATAACGTCTTCCGATTGGAAGGTGCTGTGCTGCAGTTGTACACGTGGTTAATGAATCAAGTTTATTGGCTTACGTTACGACGGAATGGCCCTTTTCAGAGCCTGAAGGGACCAGAGCAATTGATGTTTAAACGTATCCCTTCAAGCTGTGAAGAAGGCGATCCTGCCCAAACGTAGGGCAGTAAATCTGATTTAGCTCAATCTCGTAAGCAGTTGAAGCAAAGCACATTACAATTGACACGATGCCGAGGTTTACGCAAAGCATACATGGCAATAGTTTTCTTTCGTTGTTATCGTCGTCTGAAAAACGACGGTTTTCCCGCCCAACTAGATCCCCTTGTGACCGGACCCTCTTCAATCGTGCCTCATTTGCCCTTTCTGGCTCGTCACAGCGTACCACGTGAATCCTGACATGCCCTGGCCTGATTGGTCGCAATCATCGCCGTCATAACATTCCTGAAACGTTTTAGAAGAAGTCGTTCTATATTTTAAGTGCCCATGTTATATTGCTAGTTGTTAATGTGGCGTATCCGAGCTGTACCTTTGGAATGTTAATCGCCGGTATTCCTAAGGCACGAAAATTGTCAAAGTATAGGTCGGTATTTTATGGTAGAAAGAAGAACAATCACACATAGTAATCGGAGACGTTAGTCATTACGGAATGGAAA